GTATTTTCCTGGCTTCCACATAATCAACACTGCATCATCCTCAGAGTTGAAGAGAGGATGCACTCTACCACAAGTACCACGATAAACCTTGCGTCTCTCAAAATACATCTGTGGCAAGGTTCTTCGTCTAATCTCCTTCAGGCCTGGAATCAATGACACAATTCGAGAATCAGAGGATGTTGTCACATCAAACTCTGATCTCTGAGGTAGTGCATCTACCTGCCTCAAGGTTCTGATCAGTTCAGTAGTAGTGAACCTTTGTGGTAGTATGTGTCGAAGTGGAACCGGAATTTCCGTCGTCTCTTCCGTTCTTACGGAATTCAACAAAATTGACTGATGAGCTTCTCTCTCTAACAAGAGAGCTGTTCCACACAAACTTCCAGAGTCAAAGTTCTCCAGAAGATCTTCAATAAGGAAACTTTGACGTGTATCTGAAGTCTCACTATAAGGAAGAAAACGATTCATCTCAACCAAAAATGAGAACGGAAACTTCTTCCAGTCAGGATCCTTGAAGTACTGGTTGCTTCTAGTGGCTTGCACTGTTTTAGCTTGAAATGAACAGTCACCAATACCTTTCCATCCTTGGCAGGATGCATAGGAATGGAAGACTGTCACGTAACTCATTCCCTTCGGACAATAACAAAAACAATTCATATTCACATCAAAGTTAAAAATCGGATCCTTCAACGAAGAAATGAACTTCTGCAAAAACAAACAAAACTTGTTTCCTTTGGGAACAGTCACAAACACATGTTTCTTCCTTCTCAACTGCCACTCGATCACATTACAACATAGCAACCAAATAGAAGCTCTGTTCTGTTTGGGAGAAGGGTTGTTGATCACTATACAGTGGGGCTGCAATCTCTCCAGTTGCTGCCAAATACCATCTTGACCCTTCATAGTGGAAAAGTTGTATCCTGCCTTGAAATCCATAGGAGATGCAACTTTAACACCATTCTTTGAAAGGAACCAAGATAATCCACTGTTTCCATGAAGTAACTCAACAACATCAAGATGATCATCATTACAGAAGAAAAAGGACTGTTCTCCAAATTCGGCATCAACATACAGTTCGTGATCTTCACGTAAGTTCTCCGGATTCTCATCGTCTAATGCCGGTATGGGAACATCATGCCACTCATCGTGATCGCGTCTAACCTTTGACTGATTCACACGTATCACTGCCTTACCAGTATTGGCTTGGACCATAGCTCCTTCTTGTCCAAGTACTGTGGCACGAACCCAACGTCCTTTATCCTTGAACTTTGATGAATCCTGAGTCCAAACAAAAACCTTCTCTCCTTGGAAATAAGGACCGTCACTTGGCATAGTCCTTCTTGCAAGATCTGCTCGAAGGTCCTGAGCTTGTCGTGCTTCTTGATGAGCTCTCAAAGCCACACGTTGTAGTTCCAAATTTGTACGATCTTGTGCGGCGGCATTAGCTGACAATTGCTCAGGGCTTGCGGTCTCAAGGTCAAAAAGATCTGGTGGACGTCTTCCAGTTGCTATCTCTATTGGTGAATATCCACTGATAGTCAACTGACAATTTCTTGCCCAAACTACCTTCTTGACCACTTCTCTGACCGTAACACCACGAAAACGTGGGTCATCCAGATCTACCTTCATAACATGCCACATACGTTTGAACAAACGTACAGCTGTCTCTGCTCGGTTCGGCCAAGGAGTTCTTGGCCCACAAGGACATTGTTGTATACCATGGAACCTGTAGTATTCAACAAAAGCATCGGTGAAAAAGGCTTCGTCTCCTACGATGGCCTTTGGAACACAGTTGTTCTCATCAGACCATTGCCTCAATGCTTGGATGGTGGTTTGATCTATGAGGGTGGCACCATCAAGAACAAGTAAGATGATATACTTGTTCTTGTGAAGTTCAACCTCACAATGATCAGCAAAAACAACATCACCAAAACATGAAGCTCTAATACCGGAGACTCTGGCTCGTGGCGGAGGTGCCACTGAAGTGTTACAAACACGGCAGTTCCTGACAACTGATTCATACTTCTCTAAAACAGAGTCAGGAAGCTTCAACATAGCAACACGTCTACGAAACTGAGTAGGACTCATATGGTAGTGCTTCACATGAAGCTTATAAAGCTCTACCTTGTCCTCCAGTCTCTGTAACATCTTCCTATATGCCGGTGTCATTGCAACAACTTCACTACCAGGTAATGGGATTGAAATCCGCCTAGGCTCAAGAGCGCCATCACCTGGTTCAAGTGGTTCATGTTTATCACTTGATGGTCCTTTTGATGCTTTAGGAATTTCTACAAGTTCACCTTCTGGCCTCTCAGGTGGTTCTGAGGGAGCATACTCCTCAAGATCATCACCCTTTAAATCATTCTGAGGCTCAGATGGTTTCGACTTGTGTCCCTTCCAAAATGGATCAAAACCCTTGGAAGTATACCGAAACTTTGGCGGCACGGGCTTTTCCGCGGCACTTGATGGTGTACCTTCCTTCTCTGACGAGAAGCCTGGTTCCCTGTCCTTTGCAATGGGAACCTTCTCTGAGGAGGAGCGCACCACTGCATCGGGATCACCAATGCCACGGTGCTCAATGCCAGCCTTCCTGATCTTTAGATCTGGAATTTTGGCATCTGGCTTGAACTTAAAAATTGTTCTACCACGCCATTCATAGCCAATTTGTAGGTCCTTCCATTTTGCCTTGCGCCAATCATCTTGCTTCTTGATTTCTTTTCCACCTCTTTCTTCTTGATGATTGTCAGTCGCAAGTCTTCCAGCAAGTCAGTGTCTACAGGACAGGACTTAGTTGCTGGGAAAAGAATCTTCCTGTAAGGTGACGTATCAGTTCTCTCTTGTGAACATCTACTTCCCAGTAGTCAACCACAGGATATGCATGTTCAGCTACATCTTCATCACTATTGTGATCAACAGAAATATGACCATATTCATAGTGAGTGAAGTGAGAGTAAAAACTCTTCTCGCGCCGAGTCTGCAAATTCACGTCAGACAGATACCATGCAATATCTTGGAAGTCCAAGACAAGATGAGTACTGGCTGCAACCTTCAACTCCAAATATTTCATACCAAGAGGCATCGATGTCAGATAAGCATGTTGAGGTGTCAGCCTGAGTTCAAAGCCTAAGTTCCTCATCTGTGGCAAGCTCATAAGCAAAGGGACTTCTCCTTCTTCCACTATGTCGAACTCTGTATGGTGGATCGTCCATGCACGATCATACATGTAAATCACCAGTTTCTGAGAGCAAGTAGCCTTCTGGGAATTGGCAAAGTAAAACTTGCTCTTGGTAGCCTCAAAAGAGTACCATAATCCACAATCTGGGTGATTGTCGACATAGTTGCAAAAATGGTCGACTGCTCGCCTTGATCCCATAGCTCTAGTGCATCCAATGTCCAGGATTGCAATAGTCGGCGGGAAGCGATTCTCAGTCAAAAATGAAATGGCCTGCATCTCCTTCACTTCTTCCTCAGCGCTCATAAGCGCAAAGCCATCAGGAGCCTTTGTGAGCATCTCCTTTGACAAAGAGTACCTCACAGGGGCACTCATGCCATTGAAGATCGTCTCACCATTGTTGACCGCGCAGTCAGCTTCATCTTGACATGAGGTCATCATGCCTGACAGCAAGTTCACCTCACTGTCATGGACTTCAGCTGCTGCTGTCACACAATGTACAAAGAAACCTTGTTGACCTCCTGATGCTTGTGAAGATCTTGAAGGCGCAGGCAAAGAACGTGGCTGTTGTTGATTTGCATAGTTTGCATCTTGTTTGCCATCTCCTTTATCTTTTCCTTTTCCTTTCTTGCCTTTTCTCTTGCCTTTTCCTTTTCC